TTCAATTCTTCGACTACTTCTTGTGCACACATTTTGGAAGACGAAGAACAATAGAAGCATTAGGAACCCTAAGAAGAAGAAAAAAGAAGAAATTGCAAGAAAACAGAGAAGAGTGAACAAGTTTTATTTCTCAGTACTCAATTCAATGTTCAGTCTTTGTTATATAGTAATCCCAAAAGACCCACGTGGGAAGGAACTAAGATCAACCAAATATATGTCATTCCCTAATGACCCACAAACACTACATACATGTCAAAATAGCATTTACTAACCATCAAGCTAGCCACTCAAGCTTCCTATGTAGACGCCTAGACCTTTTATTAAGTGTAATATAGAGACAAATCTCAACTCACTTTATTATAAGTTTTCTCAAAATCCAATTTGATAACCAAACCCCCTCTCATTCTCCTCCTTCTGATATTTTCTACCACCTCATTTGCAATGTGATTAACATTTAAAATTTGTCTAAATGCAATAAAATCACTCTAATATTTTAAAAACAATAATACCAAGACTAAGCAATGAGTTTTATACTCTTTGCACTACAAACAACTAATATTCAAACTGCTATGAATGTAAAATAACAAGGTCTAATGAGAGAAAAAAATAAAGAAAAAAAAATCAGTCTGTTATGAATGTAAAGGGACGAAAGAACTTGTCAATTATCTCATCGTATAGTGTCGAATAGTAGTCTTCACCCTTAATATTGACATGGTCAATGTGGACCGCGCCCATCACAGTTTTCATCACCTCAGTAAGATAAGGTGGCAGACCTACTCATTCTGGCCAAATTTCTTCCATTGAGACAGTTGCCTAAGCCCTAAAGGTGGATGACCTTTCACATGGGTTATGGATGACCTTTCACAAGGATCATGAATGACCTTTGACATGGTTAATAACATGTGACTCTTTATTTTTTCATGACTTCCATGTTTAAAAATGCATATCAAATAATGCAACAAATTGATAAACGAACAAATAATCGAGACAGTTGCTTAAGCCCTAAAGGTGGATGACCTTGCACATGGATTATGGATGACCTTTTACATGGTTCATAACATGTGACTCTTTGTTTTTTCATGACTTCCATGTTTAAAAATGCATATCAAATAATGCAAGAAATTAATAAACGAATAAATAATCGAGACAGTTTCCTAAGACCTAAAGGTGGATGACCTTTCACATGGATTATGAATGACCTTTAACATGGTTCATAACATGTGACTCTTTGATTTTTCATGACTTCCATGTTTAAAAATGCATATCAAATAATGCAACAAATTGATAAACGAACAAATAATTGAGACAGTTGCCTAAGCTCTAAAGGTTGATGACCTTTCACATGGGTTGTGGATGACCTTTCACATGAATTATGAATGACCTTTCACATGGTTCATAACATGTGACTCTTTGTTTTTTCATGACTTCCATGTTTAAAAATGCATATCAAATAATGCAAGAAACTGATAAACGAACAAATAAATGAGACAGTTTCCTAAGACCTAAAGGTGGATGACCTTTCATATGGATTATGAATGACCTTGCACATGGTTCATAACATGAGACTATTTGTTTTTTCATGACTTCCATGTTTAAAAATGCATATCAAATAATGCAACAAATTGATAAACGAACAAATATTTGAGACAGTTGCCTAAGCCCTAAAGGTGGATGACCTTTCACATGGGTTATGGATGACCTTTCACATGGATTATGAATGACTTTTCACACGGTTCATAATATGTGACTCTTTGTTTTTTCACGACTTTCATGTTTAAAAATGCATATCAAATAATGCAAGAAACTGATAAACGAACAAATAATTGAGACAATTTCCTAAGACCTAAAGGTGGATGACCTTTCACATGGTTCATAACATGTGACTCTTTGTTTTTTCATGACTTCCATGTTTAAAAATGCATATCAAATAATGCAAGAAACTTATAAACCAACAAATAATTGAGACAGTTTCCTAAGACCTAAAGGTGGATGACCTTTCACATGGATTATGAATGACCTTTTACATAGTTCATAACATGTGACTATTTTTTTTCATGACTTCCATGTTTAAAAATGCATATCAAATACTGCAACAAATTGATAAACGAACAAATAATTGAGACAGTTGCATAAGCCCTAAAGGTGGATGACCTTTCACATGAGTTATGGATGACCTTTCACATGGATTATGAATGACCTTTCACATGGTTTATAACATGTGACTCTTTGTTTTTTCATGACTTCCATGTTTAAAAATGCATATCAAATAATGCAAGAAACTGATAAACGAACAAATAATTGAGACAGTTTCCTAAGACCTAAAGGTGGATGGTCTTTCACATGGATTATGAATGACCTTTCACATGGTTCATAACATGTGACTCTTTGTTTTTTCATGACTTCCATATTTAAAAATGCATATCAAATAATGCAAAAAACTGATAAACAAACAAATAATTTAGACAGTTGCCTAAGTCCTAAAGGAAAAGGCATATGGTAGCAGCAAAGGTACAAGCTTTAGGTAATGCTTTCATTGTGAGGAGATAACTGTGCCTTAAGGCCTTATGGGTACTACCTCAATCAGAGGCAGGTTCAGACACAATCTGTTAAAGATTCTTCCAAGTTATAAGACTATCATTTTTCCCCATCATAACCACTAAACTTAGAAACATATAAGGAATCCACCATTATAAGGGTGCTAGCCACTTGGGTCCGCCACACTGTTATCTTGGTGGAGCTACCACCATCCCTAACAACCAAATGCAACAATGAAAGAATTATAGAAATCAAATGAAAAGCTCAGGGAAAAAGATTGAAGATTGGAGATAACCTGGCTAATACAAGTTAGATGGTTCCAGTTGTTGATGGATGAAATTACTGGAACTGCTATTCTTATACTTTGATTTGTTACCTTCGAGAAATTTCATAGAATAAAAGAAGTTTGGAAAGTCAGTCAGTTGAAATCAAAGTGGTGGATTGTGGGTGGCAAGAAACAAAAACGATATAAATAACTTGCAGCCCAGGATTGGTTTTGGGCTCTAGGCCACAATCCAAAACATTATTGGTAGGATATATGCATTGAAGATATTTGCTTGTTTGTCATCCTCACAAGTGAGAAGTTTCTAGTTTTTTGGGCCCATGAAATTTCTTCAGTCTTCAAATTCTAACAAATATTTTAATTTTATTCCATTCCCTTAACTTCCCTTATATTTTATTTATAATGCATTACAAACAACAAGACAACCCAAAAGGTATATGTTTGAAAAAGGTTTCTATTTTAGTAGATAATACAATGGGAAGGGGGGGTCATGGTCTGAGCACAGAATAAGCAAATCAGAAAGTGAAGCATGTTTGAATTCTGTTTTCTGAAAATTATTATATAAAATATTTTTTTAAATTATTTTATATGATACAAATGTTAAAAAAAATTGATTGATTAATGTTTTTCAAAAATAAAATTTGAAATCTTGGTAATTTCGACAAGAATGATAATAATAGCAGTAATAGTGATGACCGCGATGACGATTTGTGAAAATAATTTGAAGTGAAACCAAAATTCATAAAATGAAGGGAAAAAAAGTTAAAAAAGTGTTATTCTTCTTTTATTTAAAAAAAATCATAAAAAATAAGTTTTCAAATAATAATAAAAAAACCATATTCCCCTAAAGTTGTATGGAAATTATTTTCATTTGCTTTAATGGAAACGTCTTCGAAGGATTCAAACGGAGTAAATGATTCCATTTATGAATACAGTTTTATAAAATTTGGAATTTCTTGAATTTGTTTAACCCAGAGCAACGATCAACCACAAGTTAGTGTAACATCATTTGAATGGACCACCAATGGTGGACCCAACATCAACCAAACTTCATTTATATTCTTACATGTATAGTCATACATGAATATTGACCGTCCGATAAACGATCCATGGGTTGGTGCATCTCGCCTAATATAAATTGAGTAATAATCATACACTCATCATGAATACTGCCGAATCCTTGATTGTTTTTTAATCACGGGGTAATAATCATTCATACCTATGTTCATGGTTTTGTCATTGATGTCAACATAAATTTAAATAAAAGCAATTAACATAGCATTGAAAAAAAGTAAATCGGTAAAATACAATTAAATTAATATTTTTTATATTGTACGAGATAATTTTATCTCTTATATAAATGTAAAAATTTGTAGAGCTCATATGAGTTTACGTGAAGAGAAAAGAGAAAAAAAATATGAGCTCAATATACTTTTATGTATGTGTAGAAGATAACAATATAAAAAACATTAAACTCAATACAATTAATGATAAAAAAATTTCTAACTAAATTCAAGTATTGTCTTTCAAAAGTAATATAGGGGATATTGAAGGATAAAAGTATGAGATATGATATTGTTACTATCAATTAATATTATTATCAATGTTATTATCATTTTGTTTTATAATTAGATCAATTATGTTGATCCAACGATTAATTTATTTTTATTCTTGTATGATTATAATTTTTCTTATTTAATGTGAAAGTATTAAATATGAGGAATCATAACTATACAAAAATAGAAATAAACATAAAAAGAAGAAAGAAGATTTTTAAAAAGTTAAATCATAATCATGAATCAATATAATCGATCTAATAGTGAAATAAAGTAAGTGTGATATTGATAATAACAATAATTAATAATAATAATATAGTATGGGTTTATCATCTATCATTTAACATGACCACAAAAATTTTCCTACACACACAATATTTTGTGGGGCCCGCAGCAAAAAAAAAAAAAAACTTCGGCACGCAAAACGAATCTCTATAACATAACACAATCACTTTTCCTACAACATAACTCTTATAAAACCCATTTACTTAATTAATTAGAGCACACTGACGTGGCGATAACTTACTTGTGAGGATTGTGGATTTGTTCGCACAGGAACACAGCGAGAACTGCAATAAGTACCACATAGTAATCTTGAATTTTGTTGTTGCCTTTGTCAAATTGTGACAAAGTAAATCAAATCCAACGGAAGAGAGAGAGAGAGAGACTACCACCCGAACCTAGTTAGGTTGTTCCTTCTTCCATGTTGATGTCAGAATCTCTGCTCTTCAAGCTCTAGCAAGGTTTTTCTCGTCAATGGAGACTGCATGGTTCCAAAATCTGAGGTAGTTGATTATCTTCACCACCACCATAGCTACTGTTTGCTGTTCTCTGCTCTCTGCTTAAAAAAAATAAGCTTTTTTGATTGAGTTTTGTGCATGTTTATCTGGGCTTGGAGATCTTCTTTTTAACTGTAAATGAGAATTTTGGATCTTGATCTGGGAATTTTTTTTGGTATTGCTTCAGAATTTTGTGATGTGGGGTATCAGTGATTGAAACGTTATCTGTCTATATTGTTTGGTTGGTGTGAGGGTGGAAAAGAAGTCTGAATCTGAAATTTTGTTTGATTTGGGGGTTTGAATGATAATAGAGAGAACATGGATTGTATTGGGCATTCTTCTGAATCAGGGTCTGGAGTGTGTACTGCTCAATCAGTAGAAAATGGGGGGGTTCTTAGTGGAGATGGGAGATGCTGTAAGCAAGCTTCTCCTCCAAGGGGTGGTGGGTCGAGGAATACTAGCCCAATGGGTCGTGCTGGGTCCAGGAACACAAGCCCTTCGAGGCAGAAGGTTGTTAAGACCAAACCAAGAGGTTTGGATGAGGAAACACTTGCTACATTTGGTAAAGCTGTACATGCTGATGTTCAGATGGAGGATAATATATGGGCAATGTTGCCTGAGGATTTGTTGCATGAGATCTTAGCTAGGGTCCCTCCATTTCAGATTTTTCGGCTTCGTTCTGTGTGTAAAAGGTGGAATTCACTGCTTCAAGACAGTAATTTTCTCAAATTCCATTCCAGTGTGCCATCACATGGGCCTTGTCTTCTTACCTTTTGGAAGAACTCGCAGATCCCACAATGTTCAGTCTTCAGCTTGCCCCTGAAAACTTGGTATAGAATACCTTTCACATTTTTGCCTCAGTGGGCATTCTGGCTAGTTGGTTCTTCTGGTGGCCTTGTTTGCTTTTCTGGGTGCGATGGGCTAACATTTAAAACCGTGGTTTGTAATCCCCTCACTCAGACTTGGAGGACACTGCCTAGTATGCATTATAATCAGCAAAGGCAACTGATGATGGTTGTTGATCGATCCAATCAATCGTTTAAAGTGATCGCCACTAACGATATATATGGTGACAAGTCATTGCCAACTGAAGTTTATGATTCAAAGGCAGACAGTTGGTCAGTTCATCAGATTATGCCAGCAGTTAATCTCTGCTCTTCGAAGATGGCATATTGTGACTCCAGATTGTACTTGGAAACCCTTTCACCACTTGGATTGATGATGTATGGACTAGACACAGGTCGTTGGGAACATATTCCGGCTAAATTCCCACGATCATTACTGGATGGTTATTTGGTTGCTGGTACCCAGAAGCGTCTTTTTCTTGTTGGAAGGATTGGCCTTTATAGCACTCTACAGAGTATGAGAATTTGGGAATTGGATCATGCCAAAATTATGTGGGTGGAGATCAGTAGGATGCCCCCCAAGTATTTTCGTGCTTTATTGAGATTATCAGCTGAGAGATTTGAATGCTTTGGGCAGGATAATTTAATCTGTTTCACGTCTTGGAACCAAGGGAAGGGCCTTCTATTTGACGTGGATAAAAAGACCTGGTCTTGGATTGGTGGGTGTGCTCTTCAGTCATACAACAATCAAGTTTGTTTCTATGAGCCAAGGTTTGATGCTTCTATCTACTAAGCTACAGTCTTATGACATGATGTCAGATGTACATCAACATTTACAAAAAAGAGTTCTACCAGTGATTCTGTTCTTGATGTGCTTTCTTTGCAATGACATAATCTCTAACCATTCAAAATGTTATTTCTTCACAATGGGCTGATTTGTTTATCGGTTAAATATCTTATAAGTTACTATGAAGAACATGCCTGACTGTCAATACTGGTGCAGTTCCGTAGACAGATTTTGTGAATGGAATTGAAGGTGAAACACAATGCAAGAGGTAATGTGACAACGTGACTGGTTGATGTGTACTGCCCAGAAAGCTTATAAACTTCTACACAACAGTTGGAATTTTCAGGGCATTGAAATTGTGCATCTTAAACATTAACTGCTTCCATGCTCGCTGGCTTACCAGTTTAATGTAACTGTTTTAAAGCTTGTCTTGAACATTAACCTTATGTAACTTTCTCATGTAAATGGGTTCTTCCCCACTTGCTGTTTTTTGTCCCCCCTTTTTTTAATTAAAAAAAACTGATTAAGAACATGATTTACTCTGTAATTTTGTGATCTTGATCAGATTATAAAATTCATCTTACTTATTTGTTATTTATGGATACTGTTGTTCTAGTCTCTGATGTTATACAAAAAACTGTTTAAAGTTGAGATATGATATTCAAATGAATGCTAGATCTGCTATTTCTTGCTACCATCATTGTTTTCTGTAATGTTTTCATTTCAGCGTTCTCTCCCTCTCACCTCTATGCAGGCATCTAGTAGTGTTCTGTGTCAAATTTAGTCAAGAGCGAAGTTTTGGAAGTTTTCATTCCACTGTTTCTAAAATTGTGGATTGATAGGCCATGGTAATGGTTGAAAGTTGGAAATATAACTCATTTGAAGCTTTTTTTAGTTGATTTCCTGAATTTATTCTATAGATTCTATCATTAGTAACTTTGTGCAAATTGATCTATGTATACCCATTTTCATTCTTTTATGTATGCCCTTGCAATCTTTAATTGGAAGGGTTCAGATCTCTCAGTGATTTCTGCGTTTAAGATAAACTATTGACAGTTTCTTTTGAATATTTTTTTGGGCCTAGACTGAGGCGGAGTGTTCTTTTGCAGAAACATAATGTATCTTGTGATTTCAGGAAGCCGAGGTTTCTATAATGAGCAGTTTGGACAGTAGTCATATATATAATTTAATTTACTTACAGCTGAGTGCATCACGATGAATGGTCATTTTTGTGCAAATGCTTAAATTGGCTATTTTCCTCAATGATTAGTTAGAAGAGTTAATTAGTTCTTGGCTTGGTATCATAGCTTGAATGACCAAGTGGTTGGAGGTTTGATCCTAGCTTCTCCCAATTTTCTTAATGAAATTATTTTTAGCATGATATAAAATTAGCCTGAGCCTGTGCATAAACATTGACCAAGCTTCAAGTCCAAAGGGTTAGATAGCAAAGTATAATCAATTTTGATATTCATATAAGAACTTAAGTTTTTTTAGAACATTGGTTTTTGACACTAAAAACTGCAACCACCATAAGAAATTGTGAAGTCTAAAATAAGCCTATATGGGGATCAAAATATAGCCAGAACTACAAGAATTCAATATATAATTTGTTATTTCTTGTTCTGTAGGAGTTTGGTATATTTATTTTACTTATTAATCCATTAGTTTCATATTTTAGCACTGGTGGATGTTTAAACACGTGCTGGTTCTTTGACGAAGGATATTGATGTGAATTAGGACAGATTTTTTTTTTTTTTTTTGGTGGGCTTGAAATTGGACAGTTTACTTGCATGACTCTTTGATTGTCAGGTGCCACAGAAAATTGAAGGGGTAATGATTCTTACGTATGTTTATATGTGCATATTCTTCTTCAAACTATTAGGTAACATTTTATTTTCTGTAATATTTCTAATGTTGCAGGTTATACGCATACCTAATAAGTATTCACATGCTCTTTGTTCACATACCAATAAGTTTTCAAGATAGGTGAACTTCATTCACACTGAGCATTGGGCATCAGTTTTCTTGGTCAAAATTAGGCTATTGCAACAAAACTATAATAATTGACAATCCTTGGGTTACCCAATATCCATAATTATATTAGACTTCCTCCATTCTAAAATAGGGTTGTCCTACAAAACTCTCAAATTGTAGTCCTCAAAGTCACAAAAAAATAAATAAATCCAATGATTGTAAACCTCGACCGCATATATGCTCAGTGTTTTCACGCTTTAAAATATTTATTTTCTTGTTTAGGGATACTGCATAAAAATTAAAGAAGTTATCAAACAATATCTATTATATTGCATTGAACTAAGTTAACTTTTATTAAAATGTTTAAAATATTGTTATTCTAGTAATTTTTTCGTTCATTTTATTTAGTAAAAATAACTACGAGAAAATGACAAACTAAAAAAAGAAAAAGAAAAAAGAAAAAGAAAATGGCATGCTTATTTGAAACAAATGATCATGTAATTATTAGTTCATATACTAATCCTACCAAGCTATAATTACATAAATAATGTCACAATTCAAACGATAAATTTTCAAATGAAATTATATTTTCCTTCATCCCACGTGAATAAGGAAGGTTCAAGCAAATACAAATCATATAAGTATAAAATCACACATTGAAATGATTAAAGTTCAACAATTAATCGTTTTCAAAATGGAGTACATGCATCCTAAATTAATATACTTCAAGAATTGCGAAACTATTGTAAAATCAAATGATGGTCGTTTATATTGGGATTTTATAACATCATCATATCCAATAATTGTAGCAGTAGGAGCAGCAAGTCTCAAGGAATGCTTGTTGAATTTCCAAGGCCATATCTATATGAAATATATAGCAGCATATTGAAGCAAGCTGCTGACAACAATGGCTTTTTCAAAATTGTGGAAGCACTATTGTCAGAGTTTGAGTCAATAGATTAGTGAAATGATAAATAAAGTGGGGAATCTTTTATTGGGTTGTTAAATAGTCCTCTTGTAGTGCTTCCATTTACGGTTTTGGTGGCACAGCATGTGCTTATGTTCTTAAAAGCTAAACAGATTTTCATTTCTTTGAAAATTGAACCATATTTTAAAGCCCTCAAATATATAGCAGCCACTTTAACTGGTTCACTCATAAATTAACTTATATGAAAATTAAAGTATAAATATAGGAAACATAAAAAAATTCAAATTATAACGTAATATTAACATTAAAAAATTGGATGTAATTTCTTTTTCGAAATATCATAGTTTCAAATATTATAAAAATGGATTACCAACCTAACAAGATATATATTTTAAAGTGATTTTCTTTCTATAAAGGTTTCCGTTTCCAATAGAAGATAGATTATAATCAGTACAGTAATATGCTTAGTGTCGGTGACTCATTAAGTTTGGTAAGAAGCTAAGAGGACCTAGGAAAACGAAAAAGAAAGAAATAGTATATTTGCATGCTCTTCTTACGTATTCCACAATTCTATAAACTAAGCTGTTTCAATGAGATTATAGCCATTGGTTTTAATCTAATTAATACCATACACCGTTCTCAAAAAGAGACCACTCGCATGAGGTTGGAGGTCACGCCCTCGTGTTCTTAAACCCGTACAAAACACAAGTTTGAAGTTTAAGTAATGGTTTCATTGGTAGTTAAAAAAGGCTATGTATATGGTTTCACAGTTCAATGCATAAAATCAATTGCCCATGTTCCAGTGGCTCTTAATTTGATTACCCCTTTACGTCTTTGTTATTCATTACCTTCCTCCTCCATTCTTATCTAATATAATGTTTTACAAAATTTGTGAAGATGATTTTATTTCATTACTTAATTACACTCTTTGATCAAAGTTGTAACTCTACGTTATATATGTTCAAAATAGAATGATAGTTTAATACATTCAAATTTTTGCTAATTAATAAAAAAAAAATTAATAGGACCCAATTAAACTCAATTTTCTAAAATTATTATCAATAATGTAAAAAAAAAAAACTCAAGTAATCAAATATGAAATAATTTAGAGTAAGAAATAGTTCCGGTCAAAGTTTTATTTTGATGCTGGGATGGCAATGGTATCTCATTCAGATTTAAGAGAAAGATGATATAAGTTCGCACTCTTAGGGCTTGTTTGGATGAGTTTTTTTCTGTTCAAAAATTGTTTTTTTTTTCAAGAAAAAAACACTTCTCGTTTTTAGTTCGTTTGGATGTCTGCTTTTTTAAAAAAGAGAAGTCACAAAAAAAGTCAAAAACCTATTTTTTTTCGGAAGCTAACAATTCTAACCTCTAAAAAAAGCAGAAGTTAAAAGTCAATTTTTTTTTTCAAAAACTAAATATTTTAATAAAAATATAAATAGTTTTAACTTTTATAAAAAATACTTTTAAAATAAGGAAGAGATAAAGTTACTTTTTTTAGAAGCCCAAACAAACGGGCTCTTAGACTCAGTTTTTGAATTTTTGTCTTTATTATTTTTTATATATAAAAAAATCTTGGAGAATTCTTCAAAATTGATCTACATATTAACCTACTATTGTGTTACACTATTGCTTCCTTCTCCCTGTGAAAATATTTTCGAGCTTAATGCCAACATAACTAAAATTTCTGCCCTGAAATAAAGATGAGTCCAAACAGGCATAAGGCATCCAATGAAAGAACTCTGATTTTGTCTTATCTCATTCTTGTTTAACTGATTTGCAGCGTATCAATCTCTGACAAAGACCTTCACCTGACTTGACCATTTTGTGTAAATTGAATGAATCATCTTTCCAAGGAGGTAAGATGGTGGTTCGATATCTATATTCAACATGTCACAGAAACAATTATTTTTCTCATTGAATAATTGATAGTTTGGAGGCATGGTTTCCATGACAATCACAAATTAGATACCATAAGCGCCGAGCTGGCATAATCTTAGACATGCTAACTTAGGTCAGGCCTATATATATAGCTACAAGCCTACATGGCATGTTTGACTTGAAAAGTGATCATCAGCAGTTCCATTCCAATTTTTGAAGGATTGTGTTCTTGCATGAAATTTATATAATAACATATATATATATTATATATATATATATATATATTATATATATATATAGTTGATTGCATTTTCTTAAAAATAAATTTAGTCCACTTAAAAATTCCTTTGATTGATCATATTCCATAAGATTAGCTAGTTCAGAGATGACTTTTGTACACGAGGTGGAATAAATTCAAATAATAGTTATATGAAAAAAAAAATCAATTTTGTTAATATTACAATATTACACTAGTTTTTTTGTTGTTGCTTAATTAAGTTCAATTTTATACATTGTTTTTTATTTGAATATTTAGTTTTTCTTGGTTTACGTACAATATTTAGTATAATTTTATGCTATTTAGCAAGCATGAAAAGCAGACAATATACATGCGAATCAAGACCAAATTATAACTTTTTCGGACTGCTTGTTCAGCTTCAGCCATATAAACACATTCAAACTTCAGAGATTGAGTAACACCATTTTAAAAATACAATAAAATAAAATAATTCCTACAATTAAAAAAATTACCTATTTATTATTTTTTATTAATTTATACATTTGTTTTGAGCTTTCCAAAATTTTGAACATACCAAGGAATAATATAATAATTAAGAGAAAAGGTGTCGGAACCCTAGTTTTGACTTGGGTTTGAACTTTGAACCCTCTATAAAACTCATGTTCTGCTAGTTTATGTTTTCTCTCTTTCAGTTGTTTAAGAAAAGAAAACACATACTCATGAGAAGAAGAAACACTAGGATGAAGTTCAGTGTGCTCTCAAGCCTTTTACTAGTATATCTCTTGGTCATGACTGTCCAAGGGGACTCATCATCACCAAGCGTTGTTCCAGGTAAAAAAATAATATTCTCCATTTAATTACTTTCCATTAAAAGATCAAACTAAAGATTGCATGGTCAAGTAAAAAAATGTTTTGAATCAATTATTAAAGTTCATTTTCCAAAAACATCACAAAAAAAGTTAATCATTGTGTGTCATTTATATTTTATACCAATAAAAAATATTATGATTATTAAGAACTCAATAGATACCCTTTTTGGTGCAAATGGCTAAAATCTCTCTGATTGTAACTTCAGGTTATGAAGGGGACAAAAACAAGTTTGAGGTGACTGGAGTTACAGCCATGGCTGCTCAAAAGGTATGTGAAATACTACTCTTGTTCCAATGTTGTTTCATGTTATTTTGATTTCAGCATATATAATGATTGTGAGTCATGGGCAGGAACCATTTGATCAGAGAGGTGGAGCTGTTCATATGAGGAAGCTAGGGCTTGGAGGTAAGAAACTTACTACACAAGAAGAGACAAGCATGGATTCTAAGAATGGAAAAGGAGCATATGAAGGAGGAACTTCAAAGATTTCAGGTGCAACCTATTCTGATGATGGAATATGTGAATATGAAAGGGAGGGAGAAAAATTTGTAAAATGTAAAGGGGAGAAAAGTATTAAACAAAGAAAGCTCAAAATGGCTGATTTTGTAGCTTTCACTGATGATTATCATGGGCCAAGGCAACACCTTCCAAAACATAACTGAGTGAAAAGCAATTGAAGCCCTTGTGAGTCTGCTAGCTAGTGGAAACTTGTTTGTAGATTTCATGTATATACTTTATTTGTGTGAATTCATGTGCAGCATTTTCCTAAACTTTTAAACCCAATATCTTTGTCTTTTTGTTAACCAAAATTGTAAATATTTATGCTAAAATGTTGTCTACGACTTAATTAAAGTCATCTTATTATATATTCTCAAATGGTCTTATTAAAAGTGTGTTACTTGTCAAAGAAATTGTACTTAGGGTTCCTCTTATGTCTGCTTCCATAAAGCAGGTAAGGAGAATGATGGTTTGAAGAAGCCTTTCGGAAGCTTAGAAGAACAAGAGAATGATCATCAGGTTCTATTAATTTGCTGATATTTATATATTGCATAAAATTTCTCTCTTTTTTCTTTTTCCATATAGAGGCTCAAGTTCTTATTTAAAAAGTTAGCCTTTCATATATAATGAAGGGTTATATTTATCTTATGTTATAGAAAATTGATTATCTCATGTTATAGAAATAAAATTATAAGTGGGACCCACACGTAAGAAGAGAGAGAGAAAATAGATGTGAGATCCACCTTTACTTTGTGTGTGTAGAAAATTTGTTTATCTTATGCAACATAAGATAAATATAATCCTATAATGAATCTCTAGTTGTTTTACACATATATATTCAATATTACTGGCCTAATTATTTTTAAATTCAAACAGAAGCATATGATAATGGGGTCAAAGGCTTATTTGAAATTCACCAAGTTTGTGAAGTGTGCAAAAGGTTGCAATGGCGTGCCATCAATTAAAGCCAGCTTAGAGAGTTCCTCAAGGTCTGAAGAACCTCATCAAGGTGCTGCTCCGAAAGATGAAACCAAAAGTCTTGTTGATGCTGCAAAAGAGGTTGCAAATCTGATATATAAGGATTATAAGGGAAGGCCAAGTCACAAGCCACCCATCAATAATCATGAGCCTAGAAATTGAGATCGATAGATATATTTTCTGGCTCACAGTTTTGCACCAAGTTGCTAGAAACTAAGTACTAACTACCTTGGTAATGGCTTAGATAGATATATATAATATAGGTTTGCTTTATATTATAGTTTTTTATGTGTCACAAAAGCAGTCATAGGACTTAAAAAGGTGTTTAGTTTATTTCCATATACTAAAAATAGATATATATGTAGAACGCATGCAGTTTGAGCGTTGTACATTAAGTGTATCGTTATAATATCTTTACGAATGTGAATTATGACTTTGAACTTTTAAGCAATATATATATATATATATATATATATATATATATATATATATATATATATATATGCCTCATCACAATGGCTTTATATACTAACTTGAATTTGAGACTTCTATTTACATTACTAAATGGATTTTTTTTTCCTCCAACATTGCAATGCTCTGACATGGCAAAATTTTACATCGTCAATTAATGCACTCAACAACTACTACTAAGCTCTGGATTTGAGAACCAGCATCTAATTCCATCTAAATTTTTATTTAAAAAAAGAAGAAGCTTATATTTATAATTTTCTTGTTTACAAATTAACTATACTATATCTGACTGGTAATACACTCTTGATTAAAATATTATCGGTCAAACATAATGTAGTTTATAAGTTTGTCAATATAATCTTATTCTTAAAAATATGAGAAAATTGTGTATCATTTCAAAGGATGCAAAATTATGTCATTTTAAGTGAGAGAAAGAGATAAATAAAGGAGGAGAGAAAGTGGACAAAAAATATAAAGATGTGGGTCCAACCTCTTTGTGAGAGTGAAAATATATAAGTTATGTCATTTAAAAGGACAAACACTTTTTCCTAAAAATATATATATAAATTACATGGGTTCGTTTATGAATAGTACATTAAAAAAGTCGTGGGCCAAATTACCAAATTAACTACTGGTCTGCCGTCTGTAACTGTCCGTATCAAACTCATTCCTCGACACAACCCAAAAAATTATAAGGCCTGTTTGATTTATTTTTTAATTTATTTTATATAATTATTTTCTAAATTTATTTTCTAGATAAAAAAATATCAACAACTTTGTTTGATGAATTTTATTTTGAAAATAGGTTTTAAAAATTCAAAAATAAAAAAGAACAAATCAACTAAAATATATTCTTAAATTTCTAATTCAAAAATGAATAATAAAGAGTTTTTCAAATAATGAAATAAAAAATAAGTTTTCAAAAAAAAAATTTAGTTTTGATTTTAGAAAATAAAAAACTATTTTAAAAAACAAATCATAACCCAATGTTTTACCTCAATTTGGAAAAAAAGCGCGATTAGCTTCAGACCAAATTTTTTTAATTAAATGATGTGTACTTATTCTTTAGTACTTAGAATAATTTTTATTTAAAATAAAAAAATTGTTTGTTCCATGAATACTTTTTCTTAATAGATTAAATACTTTTTCACAAGTTTAAATAAATGCAACTGCAGAAGAAGAGCCACAAACGTACCTCCGTGTTACATATTAATTACTAAAATCACTTATTGTAAGTCACGTCAAAACGCCAAAATATGTTTACATACAAGGAACAAACATTTATTTATTAAAACACTAAACAAAAAACAAGGTGCAAATGCAATGCTGCAGGCATTAAGAGGCACAAATAAAGATTAAATAGAGATTACCAAAAAAATAAATTAAATAGTATAGATGGGCCCCACAACAATGAGATCTTATAAAAAGTTAAAAACACAACATCACCGGCTAAGGCTTCATCATTTATTTAAGATTTTTATTAAACCAATTCGATTTCGTACTAAATTTTATATCTATTAATATCCACGGTGCATCGATACTTCAAAATACTTGACCTGTCATGTTTGATATTTTTTGATACTCCAACCAGCGTTACAAAGACTTAAAATGGTTCGAATGTTGTTATTGCATTGCAGTTTTAATTTCAAGTTTCAACTATTAGATTCGTTAGATTATGATTAACATTTTATTGAGTTTAATATAAATATTTAGGATATCTTATGTTTCTTTGCGAAATTTATGGGCATTATAAGTTTAGCTTTATTTTTTTATTAAATTACTGAATATTAAAAATATAATATATATTATATAAATTAAAAATATTACTTAATATTAAAAGGTGTCCTAATATGTCAAAATCTATTATTTTTTAGAATTAACGTATCAGAATGTCGTGTCGTATCTCGTGTCCCGTATCAGTGTTGGTGCAATATAGATTGATATATCTATAACTTAAAATTCTTAATTTTTTTAAAAATAATTGTCACTATAATACAATTGTGTACTTAAAATTTTAGTATTTTTTTTTGTCAAGACCAAATTGTTTATTTATTCATAAAAAATGACTGCCATGCTTTTTTTTAAAATTAAAAAAATAGATGAAATTTTAAACTCTTTGGTAATAACATAACTGGCTTTGGCGAATTAGTGCCATCCTTTTTTTAAAGTTCAAAAATCAAAAACCACTTTGTTTGAAAAGTTGAAGTTGAAAGAATACCCACCAAATCCGCGTTTGTGTTTAACTTTCTTTCGGCTCCAAAGCATGAAGCATCCAACTGAGACCTCTTCCACTTTTTTCAGTTTTCCATATACAGTTAGTTACTTTCTTCTTCAACTTGGTACCTCTTTGTTACATGCCATTGCCTATGTACCTTAATAAACACACATAGTTCATAGTACAAGTAGAACTAACCAGACAAGGGTCAACTTCACAATCAGTTTTCTTCTGCAGGGTTGGTAATGGCCTTATGTGGGAGTTTTTCATCATGTGCTTTTTGAAAAGAAAAGATCATTTTTTTTCTTTTTTTTTGAATTTGGGGTGGTGGGTTTTGAGTTTTAAAGATGATGGGTTTCTTTGCTGGACAATTTCATTTCTGATGTTTTTAAGAGTAAAGTAACTTATTGGGGTGCCATCTTTAACGAGGAAAATTGTTTTGATATGTTAATAATTGATGAATAAATAAATAGACAAAACAAAATTATCACAAGGTTTCGGTTGCTCTTAAAGGGTTTGTCATTTGTGAATTGTAAACTGTTTCCTGAACCCTGCTTCTATAACTTTTATGTGAATCATGAAGAGGATAAGTTTTGTGTTTCTTTTGACGTGTGATGTATCTGTCAGGGAAAGTAGTAAATATGAATATGCACACCATGCAGTTATCATGCCTTTCCTTAAATTCATGGATAATCAAATCTGAAGAATTGCTTTGTCCTTAATAAGGTGTCCATGTCTTGTTCTTTGCTTGTGTCACACTTTTAGTGCAGAGATTTTAAGAAAGAGTTGGATGTTTTTTCATTTTTGTTGAGATTCATCTTTCAAGTTGGTTGTGGTTGTAGTACACCCTTTCCTCCATGTATCTCTATCACGAAATTAGCAATTTAATTTATGACAGTTCTAGCTAGATGAAGTATTGAATTAACCTAAAATTGTGTCAACTTTGTGACAGTGAACCTCTCCAGTGCTAGTTTTGTGCAAGATGATTACATTGTTTGAATATAAAGAGAGGTGAAGAATGGTTCGTCAAGCTGATTTAGTTATCATTTGTGTCTCTGTTGGTGTGGCCCTTGGAGTTTTGATAGCTTGCCTCATATGTTTTGGCATAAGGTGGTACAAGAAGAGTGTACATCTTAGACGATCTGCAAATGAGCCTAGTTTAACAACTCTTCCAATACGAACAAATGGATTGGGAACAAGCACTGAATTCAGTGCTTCTCTTACCAGTTCCATAGCCACTTCAAGGTCAGGAAATCTACAAAAAAATTCCCATTCAACTTGGTGGAATCATCAAAATAAAGATAAACTTGCTTCACCATCAGGCATTCTAAAGTACTCCTACAAGTATGTACATTCCTCTCTTGGGCATGAGTCTTACACTTTCTTTCTTCCAATGTATCTCTATTTATAGATAACTACTAGGAGAATGTAAACGGTGAGATAATAATATAAAGCATTAAAAAAGTCATCATTAAATATCTTAAGGTTTTGGGTTGAAATGGTTTTTTTACATGGTATTAGAGCTTGAAAGTGGAATTAAATAAATACAAGATAAAACCAAAAAAAAATTAGGCTTGTGCAATATCCACTCTTACGTGAGGGGGTGTGTTAAAGAATGATATAAACCATTAAAAAAGCTATCATCCAACACCTTAAGGTTTTGGGTTGAAATGGTTCTTTACATAAATCATATAGTTATTGAATTAAAAATGTGTTGATTACTTGATTTTTGGAATTGGGAAGTTTCTATTGTACTTTGTGATGAAGTTTTGTTCTATGTAAGAGCAACCAGTTGGCAATACCTTTTACATTAGTTCGAAAGAAAGTATGAAAAAGATAAATTAGGACTTGGAACTGCTCAGATAAAAAGCTATTACATACAGGGACATTAACATTTATAATGGTATATCTGACATTTTATATGTTCCAGAGAAATTCAAAAGGCCACACAAAATTTCACAAATACATTGGGACAAGGTTCATTTGGCACAGTTTATAAAGCCACAATGCCTACAGGAGAGGTGGTAGCTGTGAAGATGCTTTCGCCCAATTCCAAACAAGGGGAGAAAGAATTCCAAACAGAGGTATATGTGAATAACTTTTAACTTTTTTCTTTTTTTGGTTGCAAAGGAGATTTATAACCTGCTGTGGATAGAGGGATGCTGAGATGGTAGGCTAAATTGTAGGCAAACTGCCTGGCTAGGATTTCATGCTAGGACCAAGAAGTCCCAAAGGGACTTGGTGCCAGTTGATATAAGGCTATAGGTTTGTGGAATGCAGGACTTTTGCTTTTAAATATTCACTACTGATTTATATAATATTGGAAAAGGATGCCATTGCTAGACTTTTCTTTGTTTTCTTTTGATTGAGAGACAAACATTAACTTTTAAAGGCATTAAACCAAGTCAACATGGCTTGATGGCTGATGCTTGTTGATTAGACCTGAATCAAAATGACAAATTTGAAGGAACCATGTAGATAATGCTAATCCATGCTTTCTTTTATTACCTTGTTCATTAAAGAGTTTATTGTTCATAATTAACCAAACTTCAGAAGAGGACGAGCCTTGAATAGTGGGAAAATTGCTCCTTTTTTACTGAAAGGTCACACTGATTCGAATCCGAGAAATAGTCTCTTTACAAATATATAAAGGTAAGGCTGCACACAAAGATTGCCCTCTACCCTACCTTTGCCAGTCGAGATTTAATGGGAAGTGGTATACTAATTAACCACACTTATGCTAATTCACAGAAGGTATAGTGTGCCAATTGCTTTGAACTATGGTTTGGAACGAATTATTCCTAAATAATCTGACAAATTATTTTAGTTTGTATTTGTCTTGTGCAATATGATCATTGTCATTGGCACATAAAAGCCTACCGATGCAATAAGTTGTTTTGTCTTGCCAGACACAATACATTATTAATTTAAAACGGCAGGATGATCACTTACTTCCACGGGGTAAAGTAATCACATTGATTATTATTTAAGCAACTCCAAGGACTACATTGTGAATTTAACACTAGTCACCTCTCACCAGATAAGCCTGTCAAACTTTTTATGATTTTTAATGAGATGTTGGTCCAGGTGCTTCTGCTAGGAAGATTGCATCATCGGAATCTTGTGAATTTGGTAGGATACAGCATAGATAAAGGACAGCGTATATTGGTTTATGACTTCATGAGTAATGGAAGCTTAGCAAACCTTTTATATGGTAAGTGGAAGATCTTTCATGTTCCTCTCAAGATTTTTTTATTTGATAGCTTTATATCAAGGCTTGCATGTTTTTAACCTTTTTTAAATAAATCATTATGTAACATATATCTTAACCTTTTTTCTGGATCAGATATAGCAGAGAAATTTTTTCTTCTTAATTTTAACCTTTTTAAGTTTTAACATGTAGAAAATCAGAATCCAAACATGTTTCCGTTTTTATTTCCTATTAATTAGGATTGATTATGATTGATTAGGATTGATTGTGATTGATTAGAATTGATTGTGATTAGGATTGATTAGTCATCGCTTAGTCATCGCTTAGTCATTCTTAGCGATTTTTTCTTGTATAAATACTCACTCATGTAAATTATTCAAAATCAATATACAGAAACTTCTTTTCAATATGGTATCAGAGCCAGGTTCGTTCCTACCCTAATTCAAATCTGAAATAACCATCCAAACACTTCCATCACTGTCAAACACCTCCTAAACACCTCCTTGAATCTGTCCAACACAGAAACCTAGTCTACTGACCTCCGATCAAGAAAGTGAGGTGACCATTCGACTCAGAAGGATCCGACGAGTCGACCGCCGCTGGACCCATCGCCGTCAACCGCCGCACGCGCCGCCACGCGCCGTCACACGTGTGGCCAGTTTCCGGCGCGTGAGCTCCACGCGCCGCCTTCCCAACGTATTTTTCCGCCGCGACTTGCACAGACCTTCTCGCCGGCTTCTCCCCTTCCTGTTCCAGAGGTCAGATCAAAAATTTACAAAACTTGATTTTTCATCAACGGTCAACCCTTCTCTTTCTATTCATGGCTTCCTCAAAACACTCTTCCTCTTACTCTGATGGTGTCTTTCTTAGCAAGACTAAGTTTGAACAACTTCAGAGACTTTTGACTCAACCTCCTAAGGCCACTAGTCATGTGGTCCAGCAAGGTACAACTTTCCATGTTGATAGTCAAAATCATTGGATCCTTGATTCTGGAGCCTCTGATCATATGACAGGTAATCTTGGCTTGTTTTGTTCATACACTCCATATTCTGAACCTTCTCGGGTCAAGATCGCCGATGGCAGTTTTTCCCAGATTGCGGGACACGGAACCATTAAACTTTTTGAGCTGATTACTTTGACATCAGTTCTTTATGTTCCTTCTCTGACTTGTAATCTCATTTCTATTAGCAAGCTCACCTCTGAGTTGCATTGCTTTGCTAAATTCTTTCCACATGGTTGTGTTTTTCAGGAACCAGGACTCGGAGAGGATGATTGGCAGTGCTAGAGAGGATGAAGGACTTTACTACTTTGAGGAGGATGTGACTCATGAAGCTGTTTTCGTAGAAAAAAACTCTATGTTTCCTTTTGATTCATGTAATGATGTTATGATGTGGCATCGTAGGCTAGGCCATCCAAATTTTATTTATCTTCAGAAGTTGTTGCCAAACTTATTTATTCATAAAAGTCCAAGTTTGTTTTCTTGTGATATTTGTCAACTTGCCAAGCATACTCGTGCTCATTATCCTTCTAAAGTTCACCATGACTCTTCCCCATTTTCCTTAATTCATAGTGACATATGGGGTCCCGCCCGTGTTAAAAATATTTCAGGTACTCGATGGTTCATTACCTTCATTGATGACCATTCTCGAGTCTGTTGGGTGTATCTTCTAAAGGATAAGTCCGATGCTGCATCCGTGTTTAAAAAATTTCATGCCATGGTTCAAACCCAATTCCAAGTTGCTATACAAATTCTTCGTACAGATAATGGCAAAGAGTATTTTAACTCTATTCTTGGAGAATATCTTTCCCAACATGGCATCCTTCACCAAAGCTCGTGTCCTGACACACCCCAACAAAACGAAGTTGCGGAAAGAAAAAACCGATATCTCCTTGAAGTTGCTCGGGCTCTTATGTTTACCACGAGTGTTCCTAAATATCTTTGGGGAGAGGCAGTTCTCACTGCCTCGTATCTAATAAATCGAATGCCATCTCGCATTCTGAAATTTCAGTCTCCTCTTTCTAGTCTTGTTCGTATCTTCCCTTCCTTCCGAGGTGTCTCCTTCTTACCTCTCAAGTTATTTGGTTGCGTTGCATTTGTCCATATTCCCTCCCATCAACGGTCTAAGCTTGATCCTAAGTCTCTCCAGTGTGTCTTTATTGGTTATTCTCCTACTCAACGTGGCTATAAATGTTATTCACCCTCTCTTCGTAAGGTCTTTGTCTCTATGGATGTCACTTTTTCTGAAAATGACCCTTTCTTCTCCTCGACTTCTCTTCAGGGGGAGATAGGAGTAGATGAAGATCAGTCATGGGAACCTACTGATGCCACGGTATTACCTCTAATTTTGGAAACAGGGGGAGCTACAGAATCCTCACCATCAGGAGCCTCCTCAAAATGGGGACAAGTTTATAGCAGGCGAAAGCCTCCTCAAAGTGTGAATAACCCAGAGCCTCTACACTGCCAGGATTCTGAACCATGTTCTAGTTCCAGCACCCCAATACTTGAGTGTCATGGTGAAAATGATCTACACTTGCCCATTGCTCTTAGAAAAGGTACTCGATCTTGTACTACTCATCCTATTTCTAATCATATTTCATATGGAAAGTTGTCCCCAGGGTTTCGTGCTTTCAATACTATGTTGGATAGTACAAAGATACCGAGAAATATACATGAGGTTCTCAATGATCAAAAGTGGAGGGATGCTGTCTTTGAAGAAAGGAATGCTTTAAAAAGAAATGGAACTTGGGAGATAGTGACCCTACCCAAAGGAAAACAGGCAGTAGGATGCAAATGGGTGTTTACAATAAAATTCAATGCAGATAATAGCATCAACAAATACAAGGCAAGATTGGTTGCAAAGGGTTTCACTCAGACTCATGGGATAGATTATCATGAGACTTTTGCTCCGGTTGTTAAAGTCAATACCATCCGAGTTCTCTTATCTCTTGCTGCCAATCTAGATTGGCCTCTGCAATAGTTAGATGTGAAGAATGCATTCCTAAATGGTGAGTTACATGAAGAAGTCTATATGGATCCTCCACCTGGTTTTGAAAAGGGAAATAGATCAGTGTGTAAACTAAAAAAGTCTCTATATGGATTGAAACAGTCTCCCAGAGAATGGTTCGACAAATTCACACAAGCAGTCAAAAGAAGAGGCTTCATTCAAGCACAGACTGATCATACTCTCTTCCACAAACACTCTAAGGATGGTAAAATTGCTATTCTTATTGTATACGTAGATGATATAATTCTTACAGGTGATGATATTAGGAATTGAACACCTTGAAGAAATTTCTAGCAGCTCAATTTGAACTCAAAGACCTTGGCACTCTCAAATATTTCCTTGGTATGGAAGTTGCTAGGAGCAAAACATGCATCACTCTAACACAAAAAAAATATGTTCTAGATCTTTTGTTGGAAACAGGAATGTTAGGGTGTAAACCTGCTGAGACACCTGTGGAACCTAATACCAAGTTAGGTATTGAAGATGGGAATGAGGTGGATAAAGAACAATATCAGCGATTGGTTGGTAAACTAATCTACTTATCTCATACGCGTCCTGACATTGCCTTTGCGGTGAGTATGATTAGTCAATTCATGCACTCACCCAAGGAGAAGCATCTTAGTGCAGTCTATAGGGTGCTTAGATACCTCAAGAATACTCCAGGAAGAGGATTATTCTTTAAAAAGGGGTATAAAAGGACAATTGAAATCTACACTGATGCAGATTGGGCAGGCTCATTAGTAGACAGGAGATCTACCTCAGGCTATTGCACCTATGTGTGGGGAAATCTTGTTACTTGGAGAAGCAAAAAGCAAACAGTGGTTGCAAGAAGTAGTGCTGAAGCAGAATTTCGAGCTTTATCTCATGGAGTTTGTGAAGGAATCTGGTTGAGACGACTTCTTCAAGAGTTGAAGATTTCATATTCCCTACCAATAAAACTATATTGTGACAACAAGGCAGCTGTTAGCATTGCTCAAAATCCTGTGCATCATGATCGAACAAAGCACGTGGAAGTTGATCGTCACTTTATCAAAGAAAAATTAGATGATGGAAGTGTGCGTTTGATATATGTTCCAACCAAAGAGCAAACGGCAGATATCCTTACCAAGGGCCTACACCGTCCAGCATTCGAAGACTTGATTGGCAAGTTGGGAATGATCAATATTTACCTCCCAACTTGAGGGGGAGTGTAGAAAATCAGAATCCAAACATGTTTCCGTTTTTATTTCCTATTAATTAGGATTGATTATGATTGATTAGGATTGATTGTGATTGATTAGAATTGATTGTGATTAGGATTGATTAGTCATCGCTTAGTCATTCTTAGCGATTTTTTCTTGTATAAATACTCACTCATGTAAATTATTCAAAATCAATATACAGAAACTTCTTTTCAATATAACAAATAAAGTTGTCTTTAATCTCTATGGAGAGCAGTTGATCCTCTGCACGTGTGTAGGTGAAGAAAAGGAATTGAGTTGGGATGAAAGGTTGCAGATTGCTGCTGATATTTCACATGGAATAGAATACCTTCATGAAGGAGTATGTTACAATGATATATTTTCTCTTATACTACGTGAAAATGTCTTTGGTTAATACGAATTTGCATGGAACAGGCAGTCCCACCCGTCATACATCGCGATTTGAAATCTGCCAACATATTGCTAGATCACTCAATGAGAGCTAAGGTAAGCTTGTTCCTACCATTGATTTTTAATAATCAGTTTTTTTACTCATTCTCTTAAAATTTTGATATTATATCAAATCAAACATGGTCATCATTTCTTGTTATATGATATCAAAGTTGTCTGTCTAACCCTTAGTATAGACATGATGACAATATAATGTACAATATCTTCCTTATCTTGTTAGGAACTGATTATCTCCAAAAATAATGATTATGTAGGTTTCTGATTTTGGGCTTTCAAAGGAGGAGATCTTTGATGACCATAATTCTGGCCTTAAAGGTACATATGGTTACATGGACCCAGCATACATTTCCACAAGCAAGTTCACCATGAAGAGTGACATTTACAGTTTTGGTATAATAATTTTTGAGCTCATCACTGCCATTCACCCACATCAAAATTTGATGGAATATATCAACCTTGTAAGTTATTTTTGCTTTGGAAATGAACTGCTTGGTCTTCAATTCTCAGTGCTAGTGTTATAAATCTGTAGACTGATAATTTCTTTTGCATATGTTGATTTTTCTTTTACTGCAAGGCTGCAATGGATCATGATGGTATAGATGGGATACTTGACAAGCAACTTGTGGGAAAATGCAACCTTGAAGAAGTGAGGCAGCTTGCTAAAATTGCACACAAATGTTTGCACAAATCACCTCTGAAACGCCCCTCTATAGGTGAGGTTTCACAGGGTATATTGAGGATAAAGCAAAGGAGCACTGTGAAAGAAGACACCATGTCATTTGCAAGCAATGACTTCTCCCTAACTGTGAGTCAAATAGAGGATCAACAGGTTGAGATAAGTAGAATAGCCACCATGAACCTTAGAGAAACTCGGTGAACGTGATTTTTTATATTTGGGGTGGATAATGTTTTTGTACTCCTCTGGGAACCAAGGAAGTTGATATGACATTGAATGAATCAAATACCAACTGTAAAATATGGAAATGAATGTCTCTGTTTCTTGCAAATGTAGTACTTTGCTGGTAGTTTAACTAATGGAGGGTGAATTAACAAATTGACCCACTACAGTTCTAAGGCAAGAATGAGAGATAACAAATGCGGATTCTAATGTTACTTAGAAACATGATTATGATTTGTGAATTATCATTCATGTGTTGTAAGTTTTTTGTAGCTCATTATCAAATAAATGAATAATTAAATTCTATATTTGACCACCAATCATTTATGCTGATAAAATTTGTAGAAGACTTGTTCTTGAGCTCACTAATTTTCAATTTTTATCATGTCAACTACTTTTGTCTTTCTTTGCCTTGTATATTAGAACTAAAGCACAGGCTATAGATGTGAAAGGAATAGAAGGGTAAATGGTTTGATTGTAAATACATTGCCGTGTTGCAAAAGAATGAACCCAAGTGTTCAAAATAGTTATACAAAAGCTGTAATGCCATTTGTCACACCGTAAAAGAAGTACATTTGGCATGTGCCTTATCAGGAGTTTTTTTACACTTAGAACGTAGTATAGTAATATCGGATTAAATATATTTTTCCATTATAATGATACAAGCTCCATTGTCCATCCTCCCACTTACTAAATGGATGTGTTCTTTTTTTATGCTTCTAAGCAGCATTAGCCATCAGAGAATCAGCGGAGGAGTTGCCATGCTTTTCATATGCTTCATAAGGTTACGAAGGGAAAGAAGAAAGTTACAAGTGAACATTATACTGCCATACAAAATATATTACAGGTTATATGCAATTATTGTACACACAGAATGTAGGGGTTCTGCACTTAGTACGAAGTATCATTTAGTAAGAGAATTATGACGTAAGCTTACTTATGATGAGTTAAGATGGTATTTTGGTGTTCCTGGAATTTCCAATTTCTTCAATGATATGTGAAATTTGAGCATTTATTTAAGGGTTTAATGCATTTTTTTTTTATACAGATTACTGCATGTACAGATTATTGGGACAACGACCAAAGTGTCACACTTTTCGCAAAACATTACTTGAATGCCACGTTCTGCAATTTTTTTTTTCAAAATGTCACGTCACCTAACTCGCTACAATCGGTTTGTTAGTATTACGTATGACATTAAGAGCAGTTACAATAATAACAATTGAATTATAATACGGATATATTTTTTTTTCCTTTTGCATTAAAAATGTGGCTGTTAAAAATCAATTTCCATAATTAAAACAATTTCAAAAGCCGTAACCATAACTTAAACAATATGCGAAATACTTAAGGTTTATTTAACCATGCTATACATCGCTCCCATAAAGTGCCAAGTAGTCCCTTAAAACCAACAAGGCTTAAAACTGCATTTTTATTCATATTCAACACTAAATCTCTTCACTTTTTAAGTACTCAAGGAATTCTATACTTACTCTATGATCCTTATCTCCTATTACGTTATAGATCTCTTCGTTAGCTACGTGTGGGTTCAAACCGCACTCAATTTGGAGCACCGTAGCTCATGTTATGAATTTTTGAAGAAATGGGTGCTGAATTTCGCAGGATCGACACTGATAGTGCCATGAAACTGGTTTTCCACAGTCTTACGATGCCATCAGCACCAACTTGGCGCCCACAATGTCATCCCACTGTTTGGTGGCGCTAATAGCACCATCTTGGAGCCAACAACACCACAGGTCTGGAGATTACACTCTACTTCAGTATTTCACCTATAATTTGAGTTATACTTATTCTATTGACGCAATCTCAGTCTCGTGGAAAACTACGAAAAAGGTCTATAACTTACAAGAAGATCAAAGGATCCAAATCTATCATATATATGAAAAATGGACAACATGGCATGATATCCTTATATTTACATTGATTCCCAACCTAAATGTCTTCTTTCACCTAATTGGAATTGGATAAATACTGCCAGACATAATCCTTACAATTTTAAGGTGCACAATTATCAATATAGGCATCCATGCCCTTCCATCATATATTCGATAAGTACAATAGTACATAATATCCAAATGTCTTTAATACATAACCATAGGACGTAGCTACAAAAGACATGATCAAAGCCATTGCCTACACACAATATGACAAATGCAACTACCATGATCATGCACTAAGTCCTCCAAAAATACATCATATGGCCTCAAAATATACATATACATGTGATAATATAAATGGCATATGCATCTAACAATCTTAGATGACATGCAATCCAAAACAGCAGACTATCCACATATGACCATCTAGCTCAAGTATAATCACTTGCCACCAGAGGCTTCTGCAACATAACACGAGTTGAGATATACGAATATACTTCAGTAAACCAAGGGTCTGTGCAGAATTTATCCAACTCATAGTTCACTCACAATATAATAGCAATAACTGTAAATAATGCAATAAATATATATCCATACAGTGTGTAAAATATCTGCAGGAGACATTTCTCAAGCTCTTATGTCGTCCTAAGGATACTCAGATGCAAATAATCCTACTGGCCAGCTAAACTACCAAGTATGAATTACGCATCATCATGCAACATACAAAACACAGGGAAACACCATCCTATACCACACCGAGTGCATACACATACGTATAACAAAATATTAAACTACTTTATTGCATTTACATACACTATCAATAACCACAACTAATTCAGGGCTAGTGGAACAATTAAAGGGATCAATTCCCAATGTCCAAAGGCTTACTTCAATTGCTTCCAATCTCAACCTTTGTTCCACCCAATGTGCAACCAATCAAACTTCACAATCAGTACCTATATCAAGGTACTAGACAATCTATCAAAGCAATCCAATGAGTACCAATATATTCATCAACCAAACAAACATATTCACACCACAACAGGCATGAACTTACCAATCTCAATGAGCTAATCAAACTACATTACTTCCTCCAATGGTTGGTCACTCACAATTGGTCCATTTGGCTAAATCCTAACACAAAATGAACACAAATCAAACATACTACCAACCAATTGCTCAACATGCAAGAAATCACAATTTCAACCATAGATTTTCCTTGAATATTGAAAATAACTTAAATGACAGTCTAAATCAATTTCTACCGTTTATTTGTCATTTCTAACAATATTTGTAATAGGATTTAGCTTCAATCTAACTCAAACTTATGAAACTCACAAAATCACAATTCATCATCTTCAACCTCACGCAATCCCCATGGAAACACAATTTGAGAAGTAAAAATTACCCTAAAAGATCACACAACCAAGGAATGGTGGTCTCCTAAGCTCCAATGGAAGAAAATGCCATAAAACCCCTCCAATCACCATGTAGGTCGAATTACTGGGAAGGAAATATCTCTTTACATAAAGCTTCCCCACTCAAAACTAAGCTAGGATTTGGAATGAGGAAAAGATTCTAACTGATTTTGGCTTTGGGATGGGTTGATTTGGTGGAGAAATAAGGAAGTTAGGGTTATTGCTTGAAAATGGATTATCTCTTTCTCACTTTCTGTTTCCGTCGAAGAAGAAGAAAGAAATGTGAGAAAGTGTGCTTTGTTTCACCACTTAACATAGTTAAGTCGCTTCCACCGGTAAAAGCTTACCAATCTATTTAACGCCGTTCATTTCCAAACTTTACCCTATGGTCTGAAATATTTTTCTAAAAACATTTCTAATTTTACTTTTATATTTTGGTTACGTTTGCCTACATATATTTTTACCTCATAATTTTCATTTACTGCTCTTTTTACCTCAAATGTGATCATAATTTATTTAATTAGATATTTTACCAAATTCAACCTACTAATACAAGATTAATTGCCTAATGATGAGTCTCCAATTTATTATGTATTAAGGGTCAATATGAGCATGAAATTGATTTAAAAATAATTAAAAGTTATGAGAATTATAATTAAAGTGGTATTTTATTCTCAGTAATATTCTCATAAAAATTATTATATTTTACAGTAATTTTTAGCTCAATAAAAAGATAATTTAGAGAACTTAAGTAGATTTGTTTTGAATTTCTGAATCATATAATTGATTGAAGATCTTATTGAAGATTCTCTTTAACATTTTTAAGAAAATTGTTTCCTTTAAATATAAATGAGAAGATTTTAAAGATTTGATTAAAGACATGATTGAGATTATAGTAAAGATTTCATTGAAGAGATTATTGGAAATTAGAAGATACGGTTTCATCATTATAAATAAGGGGCTCATTCAGAAACAAAAGAGCTTTTTGAACAATTGAGAAGAACAAATCCTACTTTGGAGAGAGAAACACGTCTTTCATACTTTGGAGTATCGGAAGCAGATTGAATTCAAGAACAAGTTGGGGGGTTTTGAGGATTCTTTACGCCATCACACCAATGGAGTTTGAGGGATTTTCTTTACTTTATCTTGACTTTCATTTTGTTATGTTAGGCTAGATTTTTATGTAGTTAAGGGTATATGGATTTATCTATTTTTAGGGGGCGTTTGGTTGAGGAAATTTTTTTGGAATAGTAGGAAAATGTAATAGATAGAGAAATGATTGAAAAGATAGATAAAGTGAGATAGGTAGAAAAATGTAAAAAAAAGTTGTTTGGTGGAGAAAAACTTTACTGAAAAAATTAGGTAACTTTATGAAATCAACAGTGCATTAAAAGCCAGATAACCGGTTTTCCGAAAAATCCCACCTTCAAATTGGGTTTCTAAACAGTGCGGATATCTATGTTTCTCATAAATCCAGACAAATTGGATAGATGGGTTTTTGGTGAAAATACGTTGAAACAAACATGGTGTTTCTAAAAGCCATACTTCAGAAACATAGATATCCGCTGAAAAGCTCCCAACCAAACACCACCTTAATGCTTTCTATGAGTTTACTCCTTGTAGATTGATTAGGGGAATTGTACGACAATAGAGATATTGGTGCATGAATCCTGATTTGATAAATTCATCATAATCCTTGTGATCTAGGAATAGACATAGGATAATTATGCAATCTTTAGATTCTTGTTGTTAATGCATGTTTTCTTAGGGGACAACCAGAGTACTAGGATTTAAAAAATAAAGTTATAAAAATCAATTTGGTTTGATTTGAAAACGGTTCGGTTCGATTCAAAATGGTCCGGTTCTTAAACTGGTTCTAAAAATCGGTTCGGTTCATGAACTGGTTCTTTAAAAACTGGTTTGGTTCATGAACTGGTTTTTAAAAACCGATTATTTTAAGGGGCGGTTAAGTTCAGTTCAGATTTTTTGGTTATTTTGCACACTCCTAACCGATAATACAATGATAACATGAAAACTCACCGAAAAAGGGGGGGGAGTGGGGAACCGAATAATTTAAAGGCGATAAAGAAACCACACAAGAAACACCATTTAAATCTCCAGAAAACCATTGGTATACACAATATTATTTTGGCACATATCCTGAATAATTCAACAAACTAACCAGCAAACATAAAGTGGAAAAATATAAAAGAGCAAATTAGGACGTAGTCTTCGCATCTACTGGTAAGTAAATTCTCCCATCTGTTTGCTGATGCAAGAGCTCACTACCTGACATTCTTCATTTACTTATCACTCCTGGATACTCCCGCTAGTGTTGCGAAAAGAAGGCCTTCGTATTTATTTATGTATAACAATGTGTATTATGGGACACATTGTTTGTACAAGCCTCTAAAATTTCATTTGTCAACAACACATTTCATTGATAATGTCCCTAAAACTGACATGAAGTTCCAAGTCTCTGTCTCTGCCTCTTACCCACATTCCCTCGTTTGCAATTAACAAAAGCTGGGATCAACAATCTTTGAAAATTCTCAAGAAACTGGTTCCACTTCTCTTCATCCATATCTGTCAGCTTCACAAAACTGGAGCTTGCAGGCAACTCATTCACACTCGTGTTCCAAGATGATGTCCCAGCTAAAAAACCACTCTTTTGCTTATGACCCAAGTGCAGCCAACTTTTCTCACCATTTCTGGTGTTTTTCACGGACATGGACAGCTTTGAAATATTAGGCACCCAATTTCCCACAGAGCAAGTAAATTCACCAGCACCTAATGGTAACTCCCCTTCACTTCCAGCCTCCTCCTCCACACTTTCCTCTAGTTTAGAAAGTGTGTTTCTACCGTTTCCACTTTTTGCTCGAAATTGGAAAGGTGGCACTACAGTCAGTTTCTCTTCTATATTTGTAGTGAAACCCAAATCCTGATCCTCGCAATCTAACTGAAACTGAGTGACATCTTTGTCACCTACTTCTGCCTCAAAAGAAGAGAATTCTTCCTGATACAACAGTTTCTTTGCTTCAATACATATAAGCTCAAGCTCACTGGGCTCTTCATCATGACCCTGAAATGCTCTACTCATCATGTCGCCAATCTCAGCTAGACAAAGACCAAAGGCTGCTGCTTCCTTGAGGAAGACAGTGCAGAGGACCAAAACCCGCAAACATGCTTCACGAATAACAGGTAGCTCCATTCTAAGCATTTCTGAATCACGAAACGGCTCTAGATGATATATATAGTTGAGCTCTTCATCTGAGAAAGGAATTGATGCCTGAGGCCAATGGATCCATTCAAAATATGGATCTTCCAAACTTTCAGGTAGACAAAGACCATGATCAATGGGAACAAGCTCCACCTGATCAAACCTTCCAAACCCTGCAAGCTTCCTAACCAGAAGATTTCCTGCATGTCTGTCTGTGTTTAAAATTCGTATGTCTAAAATCCCAATCCTATGAACAGCAGCAACAGGGAAACTAGAAGTTCCATGATCACTTGCATCAAAATCATGAGGAATGAACCGCTGCAGTGATGCAATCTTGCTTATTTGCTTCTTGTTATGATGCATATTACCATTAACCCTGTCATTAATGTTGAAAATAGAATGTGTCACCTTCACAAGCGCAGTAGGAGGCACATTGGCAAAATGATCATGATCAAGAAGGTAAGCTGCAACTTCTCTGAAACCTGTCTCCCCAACCCTCACTGAACGTTTCAGGCCTGGCTGCCCAAGAGCATTGCCAACGAAACCTTTCGGATTGTTTGGAGCATAAGGTTCTTCATCAGTAGGTTTCACAATAGCAACATTTTCACCTAGGCTGTTTCTAAAATAATATGCTCCTCCCAATCCACTCTGAATGGGGATTGGTTCAATGCCAACTTTTATTGCCTTCACAATATCCTTAACCAGTTCTTTTGTTCCAGAAAGTATGCCTGGGCAACCTATAATCTCAATTGGTCCACTCTGATCCCTCTGCTGAAGATCCCTACCAGTAGGTGAAAGACATGGGGTAGATGAACTCCTATGCAAAAATTTCCTAGTGAGAAGAAGTGGAGAATCATTTCTAACCACGCTAAGATCATTTTTCAAGACCATGTCCCCACATATAAGTGAGCTTTCCTCAGTTGGGACATTGAATGCAACTTGTAATTTCCTCTTGACAGTATGGGCATTGTCACTTCTATCTAATTCCATCCCCAAAACACACCCAGTTTCAGTCTGAACGAATACACGTCTCTTCCCAGAAGGCTTTCTTTCCATTTTGTTATTCCCACAACACTCACTAGGAGGTCCTTTGAAGGTTGCAACAGCCATCTCATCATGCAAACAGGTGTCCAAATCAGGATACATGTAAGGAAAAGGAAAAGGGGCAAACTTGAATGCCGGCAGCGGAGGTGGCAGTGGCAGAGAGTTTCTCTCTCAAGCAAAAGCCAAACTCGAATGCTGGCACTTGATGTAGCAGAGAAGAGTTTTTTCCATAAACAATCATAGTCAATACCGTAAAATCCAAAAAACTACAACAGTTCTCACACGGGAACAGCTTACTCTGTAAAACAGATTTCACTCAACCAAACCGCTACATTGGAGATGTCATCTGATAATACAAGCTGTTTGTAAGGAAAAAATAAAATCACTACACAGATATATTACCAAAGAGAGATAAACAAATAAAGGCAAATTCATTTTCCAAATCTTAATGTTTGGTCAAATGTTTAAACTTTACCTTACATCTTTCAATAGACATTTTACTTTAGCTACCCCTAACCTCCATCAGTGGCACTAAGAACCGGAATAGTGTGTGCTTGATGAAAATAGAGAAGAAAAAGATGCACTTGATCTTATACAACTGAATTGTGACCATTCCCTGGTGAGAGTATGATATAATTTAGTTTGGCAAAGGGGTCTAATTTTCTTTCATTTTCCTCGCTCAACCTAATCTCAAATCTCAACCACATCCTAAAATGTAATTTATACTGCTTACATTTCCTGATACGAATCAGCCCACCCAAAAAAGTAATTTTAAAAACATTATTCAAAACCTTAATTAATTAAAAATTATTTGATGACAACTTCCCTAACCACTCAACTAAAGACAAACCGACCATTATTATATTAAAAAAAAATAAAAAAATAAAGCAGAGAAACCGGCCATAATCCTAGCACCTGAGTAATTTCATCCATACTCCGTCTCACGATTGAAGTCCACAACCTAATATGATGTGTGAAACCTGAATGTATCATGCAAATTGGTATATCAATATCTCAACGCAACTACAACCATAATATGTTTGGATCCTCATTTTCTTTAGAAACACGACAGTTCCGTGTTCTATGAGAAAATACACAATTTTTCTGTACACGGACGGATCCACCACTGCACAAAATAGCAGATTATGTTCTCACACTGTCATGTATTTAAGGAAAATGATATGATCCAAATCCGACAACACCAACAGTGTAAAAATAACAAGAAAATTCACAGATCTAACTTATATTCATTATTATTATTTTGCATAATAAATTGAGATTGAATTAAAAAGGCTTATAAATAAAAAACAATCAAAAATTTCAGAGATCCGCATCATAAAAACAAATATTTAAGATATATTGCTTTATTTATATATTTTATTCATTGCAAAGAAATATGAAATGTTATCAGATACAATAATATGATTCCACCTCCGTTTTAAGAAAAGATTAATTAATAAATAAATAAAATCGGATAAATTCTCGCCTTCTTCATCCTCCAGAAAGAGTCAACATGCTACAAATCTTACTACCAGAGGCTTCGGCCATCGTCGACAACTTTAACTTCTCAATATCTACACCAACAACAACGAGAACGAAAATTATAAAACAAACTTTAATTCTAGCGAAACTAAAGATAGAAAAAAAAATGGTTCAAACCGTTCGAAATTCATAGAAATTAAAAAAAGAAAAAGAAAAGAGAGAGTGGATTCGTTACAGAAATTTGATTTGAAGAATATTTTGGAAATCACTGGAAATGAATTCTTCTAAAAATAATAACAACTCACCGGCTATGGGGAGATCGGAATCGGAGCGGTAGCGCGTTGAGTGGAGGCGGCGGAGGTGAGATCGGAAGAGAGAGGGAAAAGATACGTTCGTCAGTTGGTACTGACGTAGGTTTAACTAATTCTTATTTAAATGAAATCATTATTATTGTTTTTTTTTTTAATTTCTTACAGGAATATCAATCGTTTTTTATTTGAATAAATAGTACACTGAGTCAACAACTTTTAGACACGCGGGGACAAGTGGGCCGTCATAAGGCACGTGGCAAAACTTTAAATGGATATATTCATGTATATGTCATCTCGTCTTTTCCTTTAGCCAGTTTCACATGATAATCGTAATTTTTTTTTTCTTTACTGAAAGTCTAAGACTATGTTTGAATACTATTTTCAAAAACAATTTTTTAGTTTTTAGAAAAAAAAATAAAAAAATTCGTTTGATAAGGCTTGTTTCGTAAAAAAAAGTTTTAAAAATTGTAACTGTTTTTTTGTTTTTAGAATCAAATTTAGAGGACATGTCTGAGTTGTTTTTGTTTTCTGTTTTGGTTTTTAACTTTCAAAATAAAAAAACATAGAAAACAACTGTTTCCATAATTATTCTACAAAACAGTTTTAAGAACAAAAACACAATCAAACAGACTCTAAGACTCAAAGAGTCTAAGTAGATACGATACTTATCAGAGCTACAACCTTTTTTTTTACAATTATATTTTAATATTGTTGATTTCTATTAATCAACGGTTATCATTTATTGTAAATTAATAATTAATTAATAAATTTAATTTACGAAAATCATAACCGTTGATTGACGAAAATCAACAGTGTTAAGATATAGTTATAAATGGTTGTAAAAAAAGAGAGTTATAAGTATAACTTATCTCTAATTATTATTTAGAATTTGCTTAACAATCATTTTATGTTTTTTTTTATAGGATTTTATTATATTTTTTTTTTGGTAATCTACGTTTATTGGGATATTATATAATAAATTAGATGTGTTATATAATAAAAAATTTATCAAAATATCATCAACTCATTTAATGCAGAGATATAACTTTTCTTTTTTTAAATTTCACAAGCTCATCCTATTTGGATTTTTACTTTTCACTTATAAAAATAGTAAAGTCAACCTTAGTTAGTTATCTAATTAACTTTTTATTTATGATAAGTGTATGATTTAATCTAAATTTTTTATTTGTAGGTTATATGTAATAACATCATAAATGTTAATTCAGATTTGTGATTTGTCTTAATCATAAAAAGGAAAGAGTTAAATGTTAAGTTTTTCTTTAAATAAAAATAATAAACTGATTTTGATATATTTTTAGACTGACAAATTTTGCTAATTCGTTCCACGGTTTAAAATTGTTTTGTAACTGAATGTTATTTAATTTTATATATTTTTATCTAAGAATTTAGTGTATTTCACATACTTTTAACTTTTAAGAAAAGTTCAGGTGAAAAAAAATAATATTAATTTACATGAAGAAATGTGGTGAGTAGGAAAATAATATCTAGACCATCACATATATAATTATTTTGGTCTTATCTCAATTTAGTATTCAATATTCATCACATCAATTTAGTTATTTGAATAAATTGTTTGACGTTAAAATAAATTAATTTTTATTCCAACCAAATTAATGATAAACAATGACAAAAAGTAATTACTTAAAGATCAATCTAATATCATTAATTTCAATGACCAAACTGAATGTCTTCTCTAATATTTGCAAAGGGTTCAAATTCTACAAAAAAAAAAAAAAAAAAAAAAAAAAACTTTGTAGCTAAAATAAATACTCATGTTCAAATAAATATTAATCTCATAAAGTTAGAAGACATCTCATGGTCCAAAAAAAAAATTGCATGCGCAAAGGGAACAGTGTTTTAAAATCGTTGGATCTCTGGGTCAATCCCGATTCCCTATCTTTGAGGGTTAAGGTCAGTAATTAGACCTTGTATGTACGTTGACACAACTAACCTCTGAAATCCGGTCGGATCTTAGTGACTCCTGGGTCAAAGGAACTTTTGGTCGTTGTTTAAGTTAGTTAGGGTAGGGTAAACTCATTTGATTATATAATCAACAAATTTATATGGAAAAAAGTTTCTCTTTTTAAAAATATAAATTTGTGTCATTTTAGATGGTTGATTTCCATTGATTAATGATTATAATTTATTACAAATTATTAATTAATTAATAAATTTGATCCAATACATTATAACGGTTGATCGACGAAAATCAACTGTTAGAATCTAAAATTATACAAAGTAATATTATTTGAAATTACAAACGTTTTTTTCCATTCAAGTGTAAATGCATTACTTTCTAGTTCCTATTACTCGTAAGCTTTTCTTTTTGCTTATTCCGTCATATCATACCGGAAAAGTTAACTAATGGTCTCAATTTCGCTTCTTTGTCATCCGATTTCCAGGGTTGACATTTGAATTTACAATTGTGACTCAGAACACCACTCTTTTTTTTTTTTTTCTAGTTTATATTGGGTGTTGTTGTTCAGCAATGCTCTCAAAAACCCAATTTGATTAGACCCAGTTGAGAAAATTTCAATTGGAACCACCACTTTCTTTTTCTGTGTTTTCTTCACTCTTGGAGTCTTCAAGCCACATTATCAATGTTCTAGTTGTTAAGGTTCAAAGGTCAAGGAGGTTTTAGAACTTCAAGGTGCATGCTGATGTGAGTCAGTGCAGTAGAGCATCACCTTGTCTGGTGGGTGGATAACATTTTTGGCTTTAGAAAAACCATTGGTGCAACGGATTTGATTATCATTTAATTTTAGCTTTGAAGATCCAAAGGTGAAGTAGCATTATGTGGTATAGTCTTGTTTAGGGGTGTGCAAAAAAACTGGTTCACTTGTCCTGTCCTTGATCCGACCTTGACCCGACCCATAAATACCCATATTTTTTGAACTGGTTTAAATACTGACCCATTTTTATTTGGGTCAGTTTTAGACCTGACTCGTTTTAATATTAACCCACTGACCCAAAACTTGACCCATACTCATTACGTGAAAAAAAAATCACAATTACATTAAAAGAAAAGTTTTAACGTAAAATAATTACATCAAAATTTTTTATGGAAAATATTTTCATAAAAATTTTCGCAAAATTTTTTGACGAAAAATATTTTCATCCAAATTTGTGACTAAAAACATATTGGTAAAAAGATTTGACGGAATATTTTTTTTGTCAAATTTTTTTACGGAATCTAAATTTCGTCAAAAAAATATATTCATAAAAACTTTCAACGAAACACATTTTCATCGAAATTCTTTGACGGAAAAAAATTTCATCAAAATTCTTTACAGATTTCAAATTTCGGCAAAAGTTTTCGACGGACACATTTTCGTTAAACTTTTTGACAAAAAATAATTTCGTCGAAATTTTTAGCGAAACACATTTCTATCAAAAATTTTCGACTAAATATTTTCGTCAAGTTTTTTGATAAAGAATATATCCATCAAAATTTTAAACGAAACACATTTATGTAAAAAAAATTCGTAAGATTATTTGACAAAAATATTTCGATAAGAAATTTTGACAGAAAAAATATTTTGTCTAAATTCTGTAGAGAATCTAAATTTCGTCGAAAGTTTCAAATGAAACATTTTCCTCAAAATAATTTCTATTGAAAATTTCGACGAAACACATTTCCATCAAAAAATTTCGACGGCAAAAAATTTCATTAAAATTCTTTACAAATTTCAAATTTCGGCGAAAGTTTTCGACGGAAATATTTTCGTCATCAACGTCATCAAAAAATTTTGACGGCAAAATATTTCGTCAAAATTCTTTACAGATTTCAAATTTTGGCGAAAGTTTTCGACGGAAACATTTTCGTCATCAAAAAATTTTGACGGCAAAAAAATTCATCAAAATTCTTTACAGATTTCAAATTTAGGCGAAAGTTTTCGACGAAAAAATTTTTGTTAAATTTTTTGACAAAAAAAAATTTTCGTCGAAATTTTTAGCAAAACACATTTCCATCGAAAATTTTCAACTAAATATTTTCGTCAAGTTTTTTGATAAAAAATTTCCATCAAAATTTTCAACGAAACACATTTCTATAAAAAAATTCAGTAATTTTTTTTGACAAAAAAAATATTCTGTCAAAATTCTTTAGAGAATCTAAATTTCGTCGAAAGTTTCAAATTAAACATTTCTCTCGAAATAATTTCCGTCAAAATTTTCGTCAGAACACATTCATATCGAAATTTTGAACGAAAAACATTCCGTCAAATTTTTTGACAAAATTCTTTTTCGTGTAAAACATTTGATGGAAGAAATCATTTTCGTCAAAACTGTTGACAGAAACTAAATTTCAATAGAAATTTTTTTTTGTAAAAATTTCGACGAAAAAATAATTTTGTGACGAAATTTTCGTATTTTGCAACGTAAAAATTTCGACAAAATTTTGTGAGAAAACCAAGTCAAAATGGGTCAGGTCAGATTTGACCCAGTTCAGAAACCAAGTCAGATCCAAACTGGTTCTGAACTAGTTCAACAAAATCCAATCCAAGTCAGACCTGACTTGGATCAAATTAAAGCGGGTCGGGTCAAAATATCTGACCTATAAAAACCAAGTTGGGTTGAGTCGGACAAAAACCTGACCCGATCTAACCCATGCACACCCCTAGTTGTGGGTTCTGGATATTTATTAAGCATCACTAAGTACAAGGAATTTTATAAGATTTTGAAGAGTCAAGCTAAAGTGAAACAAAAATTAATGATGTTGAGATGGGCAAAAGGCAACCAGAGTGACAGTAAGGTAATGAACACGAAGCTCAAAATTTTGGCTGATGAAAAAGTTGAGAAGCATAGGAGGTTGATTAGGGTGACTAGGGCCATTACAGCTGTGGTACTTTGGACAAGTGTTGTTCAGCTTATTGCACTTGGAGAATTGTTGGGTCCAAGTTTGTTAAAGGGCATGCATTATTGTTTTAGTCCCTCAGTTGCATCTCCACATGTAGAAAAGTTTTTGGTTCCAGCCAAGGTTGTGCTCCTACCCAAAAGTAAGTCTTGACTATTTACATGAACAAAATTCTTTGTAATTCTCTTCTGAACGCTAGGAATTTATCATATGAATAGTCATTTAAAAAAAAAAAAACTATTTCTCTTTCTCATCTCATTTTCCTGCTCCTAAATTTGGATCCTCGTGTAACTTGCAATGTTAGTTCAATATTTTGAGTGATAGTATGCTGTGGATCCAACTGTATCTTGAGTAGCTCCTATTTAAAATGTTCATGATTTTCTTCTTTGAATGGTGAGCTCCTTTTTTTTATCTCATTGAAGATTGAACCTTCCTCTCCCTCCTTTCAATTGCTTCTTACTGCCAACATTTTGTGATTTCTTTAGCATGTCTCTCCTGAATTTGATAATCCTTGTCTTCAGGGATTTATAAGAATAATGGTTATCTCATGGTTTCATGCAATGGAGGACTCAACAAGATGCGAGCAGCAGAAAGTTCTGTTCTTGGTTTTCTTAACAGCAATCAACATCATCATTTGACATTGAAAGTCTGATTCTTTTTTTACAAAATCTTTATTCCTCAGATTTCCCCCTGCAGATACGTGACATGGTTGCTATTGCCAGACATTTAAATGTCACTCTCATAGTTCCAGAGATGGACAAAAACTCTTTCCGGGCTGATTCAAGGTTTGCACATTATCATTAGGGCTGTAAAAATGGGTCGACACGACATGAAAACACGTAACACGAATACGATACGATTTTTTATTCGTGTCAAAATCTTCATACAAATAAACACGAATATTTTACGATTTGACACGATATAATAACATGCAAATTATGAGTCAAAACTGTAATGGACAAAATAATATAAAAAAATAAAATAAAACATATTTAAAAAATACGGGTTGACACGACATGAATTTTTTTCGGATTATTTTTCTTAACACAAACACGACACAAATTTTTGTGTGATCAATCCACTTGTCATGACGTATTTTGACACCTTCAATTATGCTTTTATATTTCTTGATAGAAATGTCATCATTTTTGTCCCATTGATGTGACAGTGACTTAAGATATATTTGATGTGGATTATTTCATTACATCCTTGAGAGATGAGGTTTGAATATAAAAGCTAGTACCACTTACTAAATAATACTAGCTTAGTTGACGCTAGGGAACTGAGCAGCTAAAGGGTGAGAGCATGTATTCGATCCTCCTCAGTATCGTCTTTGAGAGGTATTTAAAGTCTTAATCCCGGAACTCATCGTGAATCATACTAGTCGCGGAATAATGAATTGATTAAAATAACTCAAGAAAAACACACATTAGGTGGTCTAATATCTCATGCTATGAATGAAAATCAGGTCTTTGTTCGGTTCACATCATTTTTTCATTCACCAGATTTTGCTTGGGGGGTTATTGCAACTAATTGTCCTTAAGTGTTGTGATAGATCCTTCCTCTGATGCTGAAACACAAGGTCAAACACCTAAATAGAACTGGGCTTGGTTATTGAGAGAGAGAGATCTACCAAATGTTAGGAGTTTAAGCCATAAAAAAGTAAGAAAGAAAATTGGGGGAGAAGAATAATTTCACCCCCGAGCAAAGATAAAAATCTAGGAGTGACAATCGAGTACCACTTAATCTGATTTCAAATTTAACCTATTTAATTTAAAATACCCCTACTTACCATATCATACGGCCATTAATCATTTTTTTAACTGCCAGTTTTGATGCCTAGGATGCATATTACATTCTGTAGAAATTTCACAAATATCTCGTTAAAAAATTTCTTCCTCTGAATTAGCATACTTTACCAAACCAATTAAACTTTAAACATTTGAAATAAAATTATACGCTGTAATAAAGCCATTTTGAAAGGAAAGAGTAGAAAGAAATAGAACAGAGAAGTTTAGCCTGTTGTAAGAGTGCATTCAATTATTCAGGAGAAAAAACCATTCTTACCACACTGGCATCCCATTCTTGTTCCTTTTATCAATGAAAATGGTGCTTGTGTCTTTCCAAACTCATAAAATGTTTAACATCTTATTCAAGTTTAAAAGAAATGTGAAAATACGATCAGGATCAGGAAATAACATTCGTTAACGACAATGAATTGAAATCATTGCTTGTAAACGTCATTGAACCAAGGCGAAAACCACTGGAATTGATTCTTTCGCCCATAACCACCATTTGAGACACTAAATAACATTACAACCCTGCTGCAAAAGTATGTTAAATCCAAAGTGCAGAGCAGAAAATTAAAGTAACAAACAGAGCCCCATGAGCCCAAAATTGCACTTCCATTCAATTTTTTCTCATATCAAGAAGTCCAAGATTAAAAACAAGTTTGCTAATTGTGAAAGACTATAGCTATAGATTATTGATCTATTTGATTACCTTGAAATCATATATTATGCAGCTAATATAATCAGGACAGGGGAAGAGAAAATAAGGATGGAAATATAAGCAAGTTGCTGAAGCTGTAATATATTCATGCATTGCATCATCCTTGCCAAAGGCAACCAAAGTATATCTTCAGGGATATCGTGAAACTATGACAGAAACATTATCAAAAATAGATCAGTATGATGAAACAGGTTAAACCAACTACATACAAGATCAACTCGTATCAAAACTTGATTAGTTTCAACTGTTTCATCCCATCCCTTCTATTAATTCCCAGATGATTAAGATCAACAACATCTCCACAACTTCAAGTAATATAAGCAACAACAGATTAACTTGAACAAATCACGGATTATTTTTGCAGGAAGAGACCCCGAAATATAGTAAAATAAGAACGACTTATACTGGAAAAACATGTAAAAGAGTGTAACAGAAACAAACTCCAAACATAATAACATTAAGCGGAAAAATGATAATGATGCTGAATAGCACCTACTAATTCCAACTAGGATTTGTTAAATCCTACGTTGGGACATAATTAAATACTTAAGTCTATTTATACTCCAACCTTACAATAATTATCATTAAAAGATACACTAGTTTTGCATCGACACGAGAATATTTAATACCAAATAAATGAAATTCTCTTCCAAACGCTGTGCTTTCCGCTAGGCAGTATCACCATAACCTGAAGGAAACCTACCACATCAAGGAAACCGAATTAAATATTCTTCCATACTTTAAGGCCTGCAGGAAACATGAGGCCATGAGGGTATTGTAAATGGTACTGTGATATTGTAAAATGTAACTAGTAGTCCTAGATATTTTACACCAAACATTAGTTGTTCTTCTATTAAATTTTTCCATTGAAAATGCCTTTGATTATTCTGAGTAAACAAGACATCGAATATTTTCCCCAACCATTGGTGAATTCAATCCACCCCCAACCTCATCTTTCCCTGCATTTTCATGTATCATTTTTTTATTGGAAAAGAAATATTATTAACTGGGAAAGGGAGAGTACGATATGGGTTAAGGTATCATTTTCACGTGTAATGCATTATGCAAGAAAATTTTCATTTTTCATAATGCAAGATTAATAAGAATAAAATGGTCAAAAGGATTGGAGAGCATTGCATACCATAAGTCTTCTTGTTTGTTACTATTGGTCATCTTTACTTGATTCCCCAAAGTCAGCAGGGAGTGATAGCAGACTCTCTCTATACCTAACGAATTTTCTGAGAGGTATAAGTTTTATGAAGTTTGGAATATCTGCGCGAGACTCAAGCAGCTCTCCTTCACCATTAAGTTTCAATAATACTTCTTTTAGAAGTGATCCAACAAAAAATCCGCCACCTTCGGTTAAGCATATCGGTTTAAGGTATGAGACTTTAGGCGTGAAACAACTCAGACAAGAATACAAAACAGTGAACTTAGTCCAAGATGACTGCACTTTATATTCTTTCATCATCCATAACTCTACCATCATACCACCCGAATCCGTCTCCCAAGAATTATACAGGCTGAGACATCCTCCGTTTACCATGAAATAATAATTATCCACTTGATTCATGGCAAGATCATATTCATGTGGCAGAGGAATCTCTGACAAACTCTTTTCTATCAAATCAAATGATATAATTTTGTAAACCTTACGAGCACGATGATAGCGATACAACCAATGAAGAGCCCCATTCAAGAATAACCCGACTCGGAGTGACCCACCTTCGAATCTAGGAAAGGCATCATCGTCCTTCACCAAAAATGAAAAATTGATAGCCTCAGATTGGTTCCATGAATTGGTTTTGAAGGAGAAAAAGCGAATGTAAGCAGAAGAACTATGTCTACGATTCGGCATGATAGTAACTGCCAAGTAGTCATCAGTTGCTGCGTCATACCCTAAACCACATAGAACTTCGAACGTTGAGTACTTAAAAGAGCCATATGTTGATTTATGGGCACCGGTTGATGGATTCCATATAATAAAATCATTATCACAAATATACCGTAAGAGTATAAACCCTCGACAGGATCCCAAAATTTCAAAACAGTCAGGGTGTGAATATGGATTTCCCTCAGCGTCGAGGGGTAGATCATCAGGATCACGGGGTGATACTGGAAGTGGGGCAGCGAGGTGTGCTACAGCAGAATCATCATGAAATAATGCTTCTATATCTATGGATATAGGAAAAGAAAAGTCATCCAAATAATTGTCAAAATAAAAGAATTCGTCTATGGGTTGAACAAGAAGTCGGTGGGTGGGTGCGGCAGCTAGGTCAAAATGGGATTTTGCAAATTGGGGATCGGAAATGAGAGAGAACCATGACTTACACACACATTTGAAACGCACGAGAGATTTCACCGGTAACCTCAACAGAATTTCTACTATCAACTCGTCTAGGAGTGTGGGAGTGACAGTGACATCCATCTTCTTCACGTTTGAGGAGAAGCCCCAAATGAGATTTTGGCTCTACTCCAAACGGCGTTAACAGGCGAGTCCGCTCTATCTACCGTACTACCTACTCTGTCATTAAATACAACTACAAACAAGAGTACGTTTAGGTCTTAAAAAATATTATTTAAGAAAAAAAAATCCAGGTCTATTATTATACTATATTGTTTATTTTATTAAAAAATAATTTTTAATATTAAATACAACTATTTTTTTATTTTTTATAAAGGAATTCATGTGATTTGTTCCATAATCATTCAGGGTGATGTATTGGATTATGATTTTTTTAAAAAAAATTGAAATAAAAAATCGTATAGATTTTAAAAGACTATTTAAAATTGGAGGTATTTTAAAGACTTTTTTAAAAGACCTTTTTTTACAATCAATATTTCATAAGATTGAATTTTAAAAGATTTTAATAGAATTTATAAGATTTGAAAGGACGATATGGATTTATTAGATTTTAAAAAATCATATGAATTTTTAACAAATATTCAAAATTACAAGAGTCAATAAAAAAAATACAATGAAATTAATAAAAAAATAAAACCTAGTATAATTTTCTCAATCAGTAAAACATAACATAATATTTAACAAATATTCAAAATTACTAAGCAACAACTTTTAATATATCTAAAGTTATACTAGTCCTCTTTGCATAAGAATTTTCTCGTTTCTGCTCTTGGGTTTGATCAATTAGTTGAAAATTATCTTCTTCATTTGGTATCAAAGCTATGCATATATGATTATAAGACCCATTTTTTTAATTATTAAAATAATTCTTAATTTGCATATAGAACCTGATGTTCATGATAAAATCTAGTTTAGAATTTTTTGCAATATACCATATGCATATTTTCATTGAATATTCTAAGAAAATTTCGAATCTGAATTTTTGGGTTTTATTACATGAAAGTTTAGAATATTTATCAAAAAAAATTCGATCGATATAATAAAACCTTAAATTGCTTCGGGGCTTTTGAAAAATAATTTTTTAGTTATCTATTGACACAAAATTATTTGAAATTGTTTTCTATATTGAAGGAATTTCGTTCATGAATGTATTATTACGAAATATAGGGTTCATATTATGAAAGTTTCAATCTTTTTTTAAATTAATAAAAAGAAGTAAAAACCTAGTATAATTTTTTAAATCAGTAAAACATAATATAATTTTTAACAAATATTCAAAATTACTAAGCAACAACTTTTAACAAATATTCAAAATTACTAAGCAACAACTTTTAACATATCTAAAGTTAAACTAGTCCTCCATGCATTAGAATATTTACTCATTCCTGCTCTTGGGTTTGATCAATGGGTTGAAAGTTATCTTCTTCATTTGGTATCAAAGCTATACATATATGATTATAAGACCCATTTTTTAATTATTAAAATAATTCTAAATTTGCATATAGAACCTAAAGTTCATGATAAAATTTAGTTTAGAATTTTTTGCAATTGATCTTGAAAACCTTGGGATTTTTGTTCTACATGATGAGAGTTTTTTTTTTTTTTTGGTAAACGAGAGTTTTCTAACCATATACCATATGCATATTTTCATTGAATATTCTAAGAAAATTTCGAATCTGAACTTTTGAGTTTTATTACAAGAAAGTTTAGAATATTTCTCAAAAAAAATTCGATCGATACATTGAAACATTAAATTGCTTTGGGGCTTTTGAAAAATAATTTTTTAGTTATCTATTGACACAAAAATTATTTGAAATTGTTTTCTATATTGAAGAAATTTCGTTCATGAATGTATTATTACGAAATATGGGGTTCATATTATGAAAGTTTCAATCATTATTTAAATTGATATTGTTTCATTGATGCAAAATGAAAATTGGTTTGAGGATTTTAGTTCCCCGGTTATTTTTTCACTATTTTATGTTGTTTTTAATACAAAAATCACACATTTTTGTGCCAAGAAAAATAGAGACCCATAGCTTGAAAATTCACTTTTTAAACATCCAAAATTTCTCAAAAATATGTTGTTTTGAGATAGAATATATTAAAATCTCGTTGATTTGTTGTTTCTGCGTTATTTTGTGATAAAAAGCGCTCAAAAATACCCGATTTCAAGTGAGTCAATCTGCCAAAGGAAGAAGAAAACATAGCAATAGAGAAATTTTAAGAAATTCTAGGGGTTAGGGTGAGATTGTGAGAGACATCCTATTTATATTTCTTACTAAAATGTCTCACGAAGTATACACTAATATAAAATCCATTAAAATCGTTAGATTTTTTAATATCACAAGATTGTTTAAAATCTTGATTGAATACCAATAAATTTTGAACAGACTCTAAAATAATCTTTTAAAATCCTAATCGAATACCACATGTCTTTTTTTCAATCCATTAAAATCTTAATTGAATACCAATGGATTTTTTTGCTACAATAATAATCTATTAAAATCTTTTAAAATCTCAATCCAATACAATCCCCTTAATCTCTTATCCTTTTTTTTTTCCTATCACTTTTTTACTCTGATTTTTTTCTTATTTCCATAAATCTATTGTTAAATATTGGATAATAAAAAATTAAACCACAAGGGATGGTTTGTGAACTTTTCCCTTACAACAATATTAAAAAAAAAAAAAAACTTAATGTGACAAAAAATATCAGACTGAATAAGCTAGTTTTTTCATATAAAGAGTGTTTTGTTCATCATCCACTAAAATTTGTTTCCCTAGAAAAAAAAATTATTGCCTTGTGAAAAAAATGAAAATTGAGATCAACATTGTTATATTCTTTTTACACTTGTATTATGTAATTAAATTAAGATTGGAAAATGTAAAATTCTTAATTTTTTTATATATTAATAGATTTGTTAATAGGTGCTCGATTTCTATTTTATTCTTAATATATTTTTAAATATTATTTTTAATTTATTAAAAAATAAATAGATGAAATAAAAATAAAAAATAAAACTTTTAAGAGAATAATAATTTTTCAGTAACTATAAACATGTATAAAAATAACATATTCAAATTCAACTACCAAGAAATATAAAATACGCATATATAAATGACAAACATAAAGAAATACTTTATTTGCAAAGGTCTATGGCATTTTGACCCTTTTGTCTTCATTAATTAATTAATAATTATTTTGCCCTTTATTCGAAACTATTTACCAATCTGTCCCTCTTTAATCGATTAACTTGAAGATTTAATCGATTAAATGGTCAAAACTGGCAAAAATGGTTGACTTGAATATTTAATCGATTAAATATCCTCTTAATCAATTAAATCTCCCTCTTAATTGATTTAATGGATTAAAACTTATATTTAATCGATTAAATATACCAAATGAGCGTATTTCAGTTAGTTGTCTTTTGCAATTTACATACAGGAAATGTTTTGAAAATGATTAAGTAATCAAGTTGGTAATGATTAATGACGTCATAATTCAAAAGAAAAAGATATTCTGCAATTTTAATTCAGCGCAGCTTAATACGATGATATGATAACATTACCGGATATATATAGGGTGTTACATTTTATGGTATCAGAGCAATGGTTCGAGGGAAAAGCCTGTATGTATTGCATAACTTAAGATGTTTGGTTGTGTATGTCTTGTGTGTTTGCTCCACTGGGTTTTATTATGATGATGCGTATATGATCACATTGTGTGAGCCTGATCAACTCATAATTTGTGTAACTTGTGCAGAGTCATGGTAGGATCCAGGAGAACACGAGAGACTGTCGAGGGTCAACCCGACCCAATCCTGACTGCATTGGCTGAGATGCAAGAGGCCGCTAGATTGGCCAATGTGGCAATGGTGGACGCCGTAAGAGAGACGAACCAGAAGGCCACAGAGGATGCTCTTGAGGCAAATCGGCTGGCGAACATGACCATGATGCGGGTTATGTTGGAGGAGATGAGGGCTGGTCCTGCTGTTGGTCAGTTCCTTCCGCCACCGCCGCCGCCGCTACCGCCTCCACCTAGTGTTCAGGATGAGACCCTGAGTCACATTGGTAGTGCTACTCATGTCGCTGGGGTTATGGAACCCTATTTGGAGCCTGCTGAGGACCGTGACGTGATTGACCGTCGGCTGAACGCTTTCAGAAAGCATAAGCCGCCTTCTTTTAATGGGTCTTTGGATCCTGTTGCCGCAACGAGATGGCTGCAATCTTTGGACAAGATCTTCCAGGTCATGCAGTGTACAGACCCGCGGAAGCTGATGTTCTCGACCTACATGCTGGAGGGCGATGCCCATGAGTGGTGGACGAACACCTCTCGTGCTTATGAGATGCAGGGTCATGTGATGACGTGGTCATTCTTCGAGGATTGCTTTTTAGGCAAGTACTTCCCGTATGACGCGTAGGAAAGGAAGCAAGGGGAGTTTAATAGATTGGTTCAGGGCTTGTTGTCTGTTGACGAGTACCTGGCCAAGTTCAATGAGCTTGTGAAGTTTGCACATTTTCAGATGGCAGTGCCTACTCTGACGTTTCTGGCTGCTAAGTTCCGCAGAGGACTTAATGAGGTGATTGCAGAGCATATTGCTGGAGCTGCTTCGAGGGATTTTGGTACACTGGTTCAGCAGTGTAAGGACATTGAGGATGTCTGTATCACAAGCAAGGCTAAGAGGGTCAAGATTGACGAGACCAAGGGAACAAGTGGTTCCACTTCCTGGAGAGACAGAAAGTTTGCTGGGAAGGGCAAAGGTAAACAGTTAGTGACTAGGAAGGCGCCTGGTCAGTTCAAGAGGACTGCTTCACAGCAGGGGAGCTTTGCTAGGCCTCCTTCCACTCCGAGGTGTGCGGGGTGCGGAAAGGAGCATGCTGGTCGTTGTGCTACGGGTCAGCTGGTCTGCTTCCAGTGTGGCAAGGAGGGCCACTTCTCTAGAGACTGTCTGTCGTCGACAGCGAGGGCTGCAGCAGTTCAGGCAGTTCCACTTCAGATGGTTCTGATGGTATCTACTTCGGCGCCTGCAGTGTGTAACACCCCGTGTATACCCGAAATA